AAGGAAAAACCGCGCAGAAGTAGAGAATAGAGATGAATGTTGGTCGCTGTTCTTTTCCAAATCAAGCGTAAAGCCAAATTTCTTGAACTGTTGTTTTTCCTGTTTTCAAGATTTTTATTTGATCAAATCGCAAAAGCAGACCGTAAAATTAGAAAAATTGCATGTTAAAAAATCTATATTATTATTGTTAAAACCCATACTAATGTTATCATGGTCTCAATCTACAATTTTTTTAATTCCACGAAGTTTTTTTTTGGGTGATTTTCCCTTTTTATTTTTGGGGGTACAATCTCGCTTTCCAGATTTACTTGAGCGAAACCCGATCCATTGATGGCAAAAACGAAGAACCCGACAAAAAAAAAAAAAAAACTCCCAATCTGAGCTCAAGTATTGGCTATCAACCTCTCCTTATCCACCGCCTTGCGGCATCAAGGAGTGGCTGATCAGAGGCACCACACCTTTTTAGAGTATCACCATGTGATTGAAGAACCAGGACAATTTTTTTGGTTGCCATCTTCAGGACGCTGGTTAATTAGTAAAAGAATTAGTGCATTAGTTATGTTGGCACAGAAAAGGTACACTAATTAGCTTCTCTATCTATGAAATTAATCCTTATGGGTTAGTTTCTTGAATAGGAGAAAAGATGTCTAAGCCGGGGGGGAAAAGAAGGAATTGCGGAAAAATGATTTCTTCATTTGTTGGGTTCCATTTTCATGACCTTGATATTTGTAGCCCCACTTATAATGGGTAGCGTGACCGAATTTGCGCGGCCATAACATTGACATTCTCATTACATTCATACCCGAAACAAAAACAATAACACTTCCATCATTGAAATTCGAGCATGCATTGCTCGGATGTTGTTAGTGTTAAAGCATAAAAAGATGACCCCAAGAACCCAAACAGGACTAGATAGCTTTGCCGAGCTGGGCCATGTTACACAGTACATAATACATATAAGAGACACAGGTAATGGGGACGAACACACTGGATATTGACACACAGAAACATAGCAAACCCACAGACAATCAAAACCTAAGTGAGGCGGAGAAGCAATTTTCATGTTTTCCTCCTACATGAGCCTTACCTAACATCAGTGGGACTAGAAAAACAACACGTGTGAAACTAGAAGTAGCCGTGAACATGTGAACAAGACCCAGCTCCTAAATTTGTATGCAAAGGTTTGAAGGCTCCGAACCAATTGTCGATATGGGAGAGCATAGAAAGGCTTCGTTCCCAGGTTGTATCCGTGACGCATAAAGCCGCTTTGAATCCCGCGTAGGGTTTGACTAGTGTTGTCAGACTGAGATGCTCAACGATGACAACAAATTGAAAACTGCGGATGGCTTGCTCACCTTTGGCGTGACGATGAAACGGAGAAGCACGGGTATTTGGGAATGACTGGGGAGATTTCTTGGCTGATTGCCACATCTAGATTATACACTCTTACAAGGAAACACTGAAATGTACTATCCTCTCGTTTGGGGTTCATAGAATAGGCTTAAAATCACCTTGAGCTTGAAAGTAGTCCCGATAGGGCCGGAGTTAAGCCCTCCCAATAAAACTGCCTAAAAACAGAGAGACGCCTACAGCAATCATTCCTCAGTGCCTCCAAGCTTTTTGGCATAAGCTCCGAGTAATCCCAGTTAAGAGGAATGATAAGTGCAATTCATTTTATTTAAAAAATAATTAATTTAGGGCTTGAATTCCTGTTGGTTAAGGTCAAGTTTAAAGGAAAAAGTCTATGGATCCGCACAAATATCCTGCCTGTGCACTTTCAGTTAATTGGGCCAAATAAACTAACGTAGGCCCAATAGTGCGATAATCGATTCAACGAAGCCCAACCCAAGGGTCAATGGCATATTCAGCCTGGCTTGATGCCAGCAGAGATAATAAATACTACTTTTAATCCTTAATATAAGAGTTAGTTAACTAATTTGAGTAGATTAAAAAATTAATTAAGTTAGTTATTTGTGACAAATAGATATTGCCTTTCTTAAAAAATCCTTGTTAATCAAATGTATTAGCTAGAATTATCATTATTACAAGAATTATATTGAGAAAAAAATGAACAAATGTGAAAGACAGAGTAGATTAAATTCTTATATTTATAATCAAAATAAATGTCAAATGAGGTGTTATATTAAAAACCAGAGGTAACAATTGCGAGGAGTTAGAAGCCTGGAACGTTGGAGCAACACGACCTGCCACGGATGTGCATGTACCAAGCCGGTTGGGAATTAAAATAAAAAATACGATGACGTTGATTTGACAAGGCCTTATGCTTCCATACTGTTTAATATAAAATCTGTTTAACTAATTTGATTAGATTAAATAGGTTAGGTATGTTAGTTAACTATGATAAATATAACATGTTTTTATTTTTCTAAAATACTCTAATTATATTCATTATATTCTCATTCTCTCTCATATTTGATTATGGTTGAAGAAATATTAATAAAGTTGATTTGAAAAAAAAAATTGATAGATATACAAAATAGATTTTATATTTAGGAAAGTCCTATATTAAGGATCTAAAGAGTATTTTAAAAGGATAAAAGAAGATACGCCTCTGATCCTTAATATAAAATCTAATTAATTTGGGTAAATAAAAGATGTTAATATGATATGTTTTCTTTAAAATACCCTAAACATTTTTTTTAATTTCCTTCCTCTATGATTATTAAAAAAATATCAATAGGATTAATTTAGAAATAAAACAATAAACATGTAAAATAAATCTTATATAAAATACCAGTATTAACTCTCTAATTAAATTTTACACTAAAGGCTTGAGGATTATCAGGAAAATAGAGGGAAGGGCGCCGAAAGTCTATGAATAAGAGCCCTAAAGACATTCTCCAATTTTGTAATTAATCTGATTAAGCAATAGAGTCTTTAGTTTCAACGATATTGTTACGGGCTACCGCTATTTTGGTAAGAGAGTGGGCTTTACCCTACAACGAATAGAGTGGGCCTGTTTTAAACGCAAATCCAGCCGAAAGGAAAACACGCAAATGAAAATGGTGCACAACTAGAGGATTTGGCTGGGGCTAATTAATTCCACGTAAATCATTTAATTTTATTAAAATTTGGGAGTAATTTTGTTCAGGACATATGAAAAAGAAGCCCTATTATTTACAGCATGTAGTCATTTCTTTTGTTTTTTTTAATCAAGAAAGTATCCCCAATCAATAACTAATCGTTTTTCAGGCGTAGGAGTCATACGAGTGGATTTTTCATTTCCTAATAAAGAATTTTTCATACACAACCAGGAATCGAATTCCCGATATCATGTTTGACTATATATAATGATTGCGTTAGATCTTGTTTGTTAACTTGTAGTACTAATTATTTCTGATCATCACGATTCATTATGGTTAGCAAAATATGGTTCATTGAGAATTTAGCTATAAATGCTACTCCTCCGGTCTTTAATATAAGACCCATTTAATTAATTTGATTAGATTAAGGAAGTTAGGTAAGTTAGTTAATTATAAGAAATATGACACATTTTTCCTAAAACATCACAATCATCTTTCTTAATATCTCATTTCCCTCTTTTACTTGATTATGGTTGAGAGAGTATCTATAGGGATAATTTAGAGAAAATTGATAAATATGATAAATGAATTTTATATTTAGGATTAAAACAACTCAAGAATTGGATCCTCTATTAAAGATCGGAGGAGTATTTGAATTTAGATGCACGCGTTAACTTTAGTAAGTCATGGGAAAAGATTGGGGGGGGGGGGGGAATAGGGCCGTAGGGGGCATTGGCGACGGGTTTGGTAGAAGATACGTGTCGTGGAGAATGAGAGTTTTGAGTATAGGCAGGAGCTTAGCTGGACATCATATATGGAACATTAACGCATTGCTTTAACCACGTTAATATGATCGATGAAAGGAAATAAAATGCAGGACCACAATAATGCGCACTCCATTATTGCAGCGCCAAGCACTGAATAAAATAAAATAAGACAGAGGATATTTTAGTCATTTCGATCACCCAGAATCAACAATATAAGGGGTTTTCACTGCCTCAATCCCTGGCTCTGCTTAGCCATTTTCTGAGGATTTTGATATTGCGAAGCGTTTGTCCTGTTCTTTCACTCGAAGGAGAACCATCAGAGGAACCCGCAAAGCTCGGATTGAAAATCACGTTGCATCGTTTGCCTTCTTTGAGGAATATAATATCACCCACACGCTAAAATAATATCAATGCATGGCTGACGGAAAATACGAGACAGACGTAAAGATCACTACCTTAATTTAAGAACAACTTAAATATTGTAATTAATACATTACTTAATTTTAATAAATATGACATGGTCTCTCTGAAATATAAGGGGTAAAATAAATGAAAATTTTATATCTAGGATTAAAATAACTCTTCAATTATATATTCCCAACATTTAACACCAGATCAACACCGTATATTCATATATTCTCCTTTTATTTTCGATAACAAAAAGGAATGACATATACTCCTGAGCACACATTTTTATTTACTCATCCATTTTAAATTTTACTGCCTATTTTCATGATGTAGGCTACACAGCAAGTCCCTCAGTTACATATATTTTTCTTATTTCACGTGCAATTGAATTAATTATGTGGAGTCTTACCAAGCTAAATTGCAAAAATACTTGGACGAGCAAGGATTAATGGGAGAAAACTAAGGTAAAATATGTAATAAAACATCTAAACAAATAACCCAATTTGACTTCTTCCCCAGCTTGGACATCAGAGTGCCAAAAATAGCCTTAAGATGCCGAATTGACCAAAGCGACCTCCCTCAACAACCACCAAAACCGGACGGAGAGCAGATCCGCTTCATTTAAAAAAGGAAAAACGTGGCCACATTTCTGTCATCACAGCTGAATTTGTCAGATCTCCGCTTCCTCCGTGATATGGTGCTTCGTAGATCATAAATAAGATCTTTGGAACTGTCTGAGGATATCCACTCCTATCCAACATCACAACATACATCTGCAACAATGGCCGTGTCTACTTCCACTCCCTTACTTCCCTTGACTTCATCTTCTCTTGCTTCTTCTTCTTCCAAACACAACCCACCTTCCTTCCTCAACCACCGCAGGCATACTCCTTCCATTGTAGCCGTACATGCAGCCGAGCCTGCCAAGAAGCCTCAAGCCACTGCGACGACTTCTCCAACGTCGACAAGCACCGTCGGAGTGGGTCAGGGTAAATGGAGCCTGGAGAGCTGGAAATCGAAGAAGGCACTGCAGCTGCCGGAATACCCCAGCCAAGACGAACTGGAATCGGTGCTTAGGATCCTGGAGGGCTTCCCCCCTCTTGTGTTCGCCGGAGAAGCAAAAAGCTTGGAGGAAAGACTAGGCCAGGCTGCCATGGGAAATGCATTCCTTCTCCAAGGAGGAGACTGCGCCGAGAGCTTCAAGGAGTTCAATGCCATTAACATACGTGACACCTTCAGGATCATTCTCCAGATGAGCGCCGTTCTCATGTTCGGAGCACAAATGCCGGTTATTCAGGTCTTCGAAATAAAAATCAATATTTTGCTGCAAATATGGAATTGAATGTGTGATAAATAGTGATCATGGCGTATGTGGGTTATTAGGTGGGAAGAATGGCAGGTCAATTTGCGAAGCCGAGATCGCAGCCGATGGAGGAGAAGAACGGAATGAAGTTGCCGAGTTACAGAGGAGACAATGTGAACGGAGATGCGTTTGACGAGAAGTCGAGGACTCCAGATCCCCACAGGATGATCAGAGCCTATTGCCAATCAGCAGCGACTCTGAACCTTCTCAGAGCGTTTGCCACGGGAGGCTATGCTGCAATGCAAAGGGTCACCCACTGGAATCTGGACTTTGCGCAGAATAGTGAGCAGGGAGACAGGTCGGTGATTCTTTTAGTTACCTTTTCCGTCGTCGTCGCTTTGGCCAAACTTATCCCTTTCTAGAAAATATTCCCTACTGCCCTTTTCGGGCCATGAAATGAAAGAAAAATGAATCGGTTAAAATTTTGAGTGAATCAACTGAAAAAAGTGGACACGTGTTTTAGTTTAAGATTTTTCTGGTTGGTGAATATAGCAATGACAGAATACAGATCGTACATATAAGTTTCCAATGAAAAAGTTGTAGACTAGGGTGGCTTGGCACCGGCTCCTTAGAAACTTTTTTTTTTTTTTAAGATCAAAACCCCAAAAAAAAAAAATAATGATAACGGGGATGCATTCAGAGGCCTTTGCCACGGAAAGGACAAATTGGACAAGTTATAGATTTGGTGATGAGAGTTGTTGACGTTTGGGGTGATCCATGGGGTGGCAGGTACCGAGAGCTTGCTCACAGAGTGGACGAAGCACTTGGATTCATGGCGGCGGCGGGGCTGACGATGGATCATCCTGTGATGAAAACGGCGGGGTTCTGGACGTCTCACGAGTGCTTGCTTTTGCCATATGAACAGTCTCTCACTCGGTTGGATTCAACCACCGGTCTCTACTATGACTGCTCTGCCCACATGCTTTGGGTTGGGGAACGCACCAGGCAACTAGACGGCGCCCACGTCGAGTTCTTGAGGGGAATTGCCAATCCTTTAGGCATCAAGGTCTCACTCTTCATTTCTCATTCTTATTGTTTGGGTTTGATGAGGGAATAATAGAGGGTAAGTGACCGTAATAATTGCTGCAGGTCAGCGATAAGATGGATCCCAACGAGCTGGTTAAACTGATTGACGTACTGAACCCGGAAAACAAGGCGGGAAGAATAACAGTGATCACGAGGATGGGAGCAGAGAACATGAGGTTAAAACTGCCGCACCTGATCAGGGCGGTGCGCAGAGCAGGCCAGATGGTGACGTGGGTCAGCGATCCCATGCACGGAAACACCATTAAGGCTCCTTGCGGCCTCAAAACTCGCCCCTTCGATGCCATCAGGGTATGCACTATACTCCTAACTCTCTATAATTGGATCTATTATAACCATGCGTTTTCGAACTTTTCTTTTCTTAAAATCAAAACACGCATTTTAATTACGTTCCTCAGTAAGAGAGATCGTGAAGGTTTTTAACATCCCAGTACTTACATTTATATATATATATATATATATTGATGTAAACAGGCGGAGGTGACGGCATTCTTCGACGTGCACGAACAAGAAGGGAGCCACGCGGGAGGGGTGCATTTGGAGATGACCGGACAGAATGTGACGGAGTGCATAGGCGGATCAAGGACGGTGACTTTCGATGACCTGGCGGCGCGTTACCACACGCACTGCGACCCTCGCCTGAATGCCTCGCAGTCACTGGAGCTGGCTTTCATCATCGCCAACCGCCTCCGATCCTCTCGGATTGTCTGTGCTTCTTCCTCCCACGCTCCCCCTCTCTTCCCCATCTGCCTCTGTATTAAACACACCTTGTCTTCTGTAACCCCTTCCCCACTTATTCATCTTCCTGCTGCGTCTCAGCTCTTATAGTTCTTTTTGGAAAAAAAAAAATAAGTAGGAAAAAGATGAACCACTCTTTTATTATTCAATCGACTCTTGATCGTCTTCAAATTCCAGTATCCCCTTGGCCACTTCCGTGATAAACTCTTTAACATCGATAACTTTTATATGCTTAACACGTCGTGAGAATTTGTTAAAAAGAGAACAGATTGGATAGAACGATATATTGCCAATGAAAGAATCAATGGGAAAGGAATGGAAAAGGAGAGAAAAAGTAGAGTGGGTTCCATGCGGTTCAGAATCTCTCCTCTTCCCTTCTCATAATTTTTTCTTCTCTTTATTTTCTAACCATTAGATTAACATATTTAAACAGCTGAGATTTTAATTTTTATAAACTATTTATAAAAACAATTTTAAAAATATTTAGTACATTTGCAAACTATTAGAATTAAATTTTAATAGAATTTGTAATTTATTATTTATTTATTTTTATAATTTAACAATTTAATAATAATTTTAAAAAGATGTAAATCTGAACTGTTAAAGTATTAATCCAATGGTTAAAAAAAAAGAGAAAGAAAAAAGAAAGGTTCCGAACCGTGCATTTGGACAACACTTTCCTAGTCATGCACTGACAACAAAATGAAAACCTTTCCTGCTTCGCGTTTTTAAATCTATTTTTCTCTCATTCCTCTTCGGCTGGGCAGAATGACGTTACGATGTAAATATAACTGTCAAGGTGGGGGATATGGAAACCAGTTTCGGTAAGTGCCATACACTTATCAGATCTGAATCATTCATATCTTATTTGGATGGTCCAGATTTGATTTCTTTTTTTTTTTAATTTATTCAAAATAATTATTTTAATACATTGAGAATCTAAAATAGGGATGATCTTTTGACTATCATTCTTTTTAAAAATATTTTTTCTATTTAAAAATAATTAATTAAAGATTTCAAATTTGGATAATTCAAATGAGATATAGACGGTCCAGATCTGATGAGTTTATGATGCTCATCAAAATAATGAGTACCGAAACTGGTTCCGGGAGATATGTGACCGAAAGCACATAAGAGAATTGGTGTGGTTGTAATCGGTTACATAGATATCTTTCGTTCTAATACTCATATTTTATTTATTAAAATAATTAGAAATAAACAGTACATCCGGGTCATCCAAGTTTTAAAAGTCCATGTTTGAGCTATACCAATGTGACAAAGGAAAATCCTGAGCACTAGTTTGAACATTCTGATTTTGTTTGTGAACGCCACGTCAAAATGGTCCGGGAAATTCATTATTAAGAAATTAATGATTTTGCATTTGAATTGCAGGGTCGCTATGAGGTATGAACTAAGTAGCACTCTTGCTTTTTAATTATCAAGTCCTGAGATTTGATGCTTCTGTTATTCGAGCTACTTGCAATATCAAGGGAATTTAATTCTTATATGCGATGGGCCAACTTTTCAGTTTATCCTTATTGTTCTCGTTCTTTAAGACTAGTCTACCATTCTGGTAAAAAAAAAAAAAAAAGAGACTAGTCTAGCAGACTCAGATATCTATAAGAAATTTCTTTAGATAGGTTCTCCAACGTGAGTGAACAGTTGGAAGGACTACATTGGAGCTGCATTTGAACAAGATAAAAAGTCAGAAGCACATGCACATACGTATACAAGTGGCCTATAATAAGATGCAGACAAAATACCAAAGCCTCCCTTCAGACTAACTTCATATTGAAAAGTCTAGACAACCATGGGATTGGAGAGCACATGCGTTGACTAATTAATTATACCACAGGTGCGATGTAAAACCGACTACTGATAAGAGCAGTATTGTGCTGCAACCGGAGGTCCAAGATACGGCGCTCCTCTCACAACTAGGTCTGAAGGCAGAGGTATGGCCTCAAGCACGGCATAACCTGCGCACACGGGTCGTCTCAGAATCAGTGGAATAATGGATTGATGTGAAAGGGTAACACGAAGCAGCAGTGAAATACCAGAAGAAGGGAAAGGAAGAGGGAAGTCAGAGAAGTATGTGGAAGGCCTTCCAAAATCTTCAGAGTATGGCGGAGAGAGCACGTCCAGAATGGCGCATGGCGTCAACGCAGTGAAGCCATGGATGTTGCCTCCACTTGTGGGAAATAATATGGATGCCTCTTGTGGTGCTTTCATTATTCCATCTATCACTCTCCCTGCCAAACCTACCACACCCGGCCACAACGTTAATTCAAGCACTTGTTCAAGTTCCTTTGTTTCATGTTTGTCAGTGGAATTGGTTTTTTCTTAGGGCTTCATTTAGAATTTGGTCACGGATCGGTCTTAGTTCAGCAGGATAAACACTATAATGGCCAAATAGGGTCGGAATAGAGAAAGAGTAGCTAATTACACTTACATCTTTGGCTGGCAATGGCCTCGTCCACTTTGATCCAATCATAAGCTTTGACGTGAACTGAGCCATAGGGGAGTTTGCTTAGAACTGTCATTCCCGGATGATCATGCAGTGGAAACGTTTTTCCTGCTGGCAAACAGAACACTCCGATCTGCAACCATGCCTCTCAGTGTTATTTATCCAAGTGTCTTAACCATAGAAGCTAGTCAACAGGTGATGCTTTTGGTTTTGTTACTCACAGAGAAACTTTCACATTCGTGAATATGAATGTATGTAATCTCCGAGAAGCCTTGTCCACATAGCAATCCCCTGCTGCCTCCAGCTTCCTGGATAGCTATGGCAGAATCACGCGACCCAAACTCGTCGATCCCGACATCTTTAGCTTCGATTCTGTCTGCAAGTTATTAAATATATGTAAGTCACTCCATATATACAGGTCCATGTATATATACATGGGAATAGTTGTTATCAGACTATAAAAACGGGAAGACATTTAATAATCTAAGATGATAACCCACCAAGTTGGTTTTTCAGATGCTGGAGTTGGTGAAATGTTGGAAGCCCCTTCTGAGAAAATATAGCACGGCAATATTCGTAAACCACTTTTATTTTGCTCTTCTCCATCGTCTGGGTATATCTTTAGTTCTTGTGCGATGGCTAGCTAGTGCTTGAAATTTCAAAGCATCCTAGCAATGACTGATGACTTTAAATAGCTGAATTGTAATACAATGGGGGCAAAAAAAGAATTGTGAGCATAAGAACACGACAGAGAAAACTGTGGTGGCCTTATCTAAATAATATGTTACAGTGGGCTCCTATTTCGGTATTTGAAAGTGTTTATTTAGAAATAGACGCAGGACGTTGAGAGCGACTCGAAGAGTAAACGATGCTGGTAACAACTACGAAATATATATCTCTTTCAGATTGTAGGTTATTTCCGCACAGCATCATAATTGGATGGGATGAACAAACAATCGGTCCTCTAGTACTATCTCCTGTCCTAATTATAAGAACCAGTTGACTAATTTGAGAAGATTAAGGAAGTAAGTTGAGTTAGTTATTTGTCCTAAATAGGTGTTGTCTTTCCTAAAATATCCTTACTAATCAAGTGTATTGACTAGAACTATCATTGTTAGGACTATTTTGAAGAAAAAAAAAGTATAAGTATGAGAGACAGTGGATTGGGGTTTTATATTTATGACCAAAATAAAAGTTAAACAGAGTCTTATATTAAGGATCGAATGTAGTATAATTCACCAAGCCTGAAAAGATAATTCTATCTCATTGACGCAGAGGCTTGACAGGGATATATCTATCGGATTCCAATGAAAATAAAAGTGACAGGCCTTAGATCAAATCATCATCACAATGGACTATTTGCGCCATAGAGACCAAGACTTTGGTATTCATTGCTGAATAAGCAAAAGGCTAGATATAATTGGAAGTAAGAATATCGCATAAAGATATACTCTATATCTTTTGGTACGCAATATATGGACCGCCACTACGTCGAGAGGATGACTTCAGCTCATGGGGAACTGTTTATGTTCCACCAACACTTATTTGATTGGAGAACTGATGCTCCCATCCAACGATACCTTTTTTCAGGCGAAGCAAAACTTGACTTGTCGCAGTAATGCTGTTTTCCTGCGTCAACGTCGGCGTGGATGTGGGAATTGGGATCGTTGTGGGCAGATATTGAAATAAGCATTCTTCTTGCTCTCAACCGCTCATCCTATTACTGGAGATAGCACCAATTCATTCGCGTAGTCAAGTTCTGATAAAATATTTACACGTGATTAATACTTATCTTCCAAAATATTCATGATAGAAAATACAAATTGATTAGCCAGTATCCTTAACTTCTTGTCAGTAGATGCATTCTTTCTCATGGCATTAGATAGAGTGGGAAAATGAAAGGAAAAATACCGATTTACATTACAGCCACAGGTAGATTTTGATAACTCATATTGATTTATGTGTTTTTTTTTTCCAGAAAAATAATTATTTTATACTCTACTTTTCCCCACGACAGTTGACTGTGAATAGGGATAACTACTTTTGATCTTTAGGTGAAGATGTGGAACCAGTTTCTTTTTATTATGTTTTGAGTCCTGTTTGGGAGCGGTCACAAACTCAGAGTCAAAAGCTGAGATTTTTTTGTCTGCAATCGTGTCATTAATAAATTTTAATTCCACAAGGGATGCCGATTTCCCATTTTTCTCAAACGCTACCACTTTCTCTGGGGCCACATTGACATTGTGATCAGCCTATTATGTAAGTCCATTTGATTGCAACCCAGTCACTATGAGCAGGAGGAGGTGAGCTGTTGCCCAGGCTCCCTCACCTATACATATAATTGAAATAAATACAAATTCATTATATTTATACTACCTCTTGTCCTAATTATAATAGCCAATTGACTAATTTGAGGGGATTAAGAAAGTAAGTTGAGTTAGTTATTTGTCCTAAATAAGTGTTGTCAAGTGCATTAATTAGAACTATCATTGTTAGAAGGACTCTTTTGAAAAAAAATGTATAAATATGAGAGACAAAGTGGATTTGGATCTTATTTTTAGGACCAAAATAAAAGTCAAATAGGGTCTTATATTAAGGACCGGAGGTAGTATAATAGTAATCTGTTTGGCCAAAAGAGTCATATTTATTTATATAATAAATGAATCAATATATTATCAGCTGGGATCCCTGAGCAAAACAATGAAGTTAAATCAATGAGAAATGGGAATTGTTTCTTAATTAATCACTCCTCCGGAAGACCTAATTATTGAGTTGATTTTGGTCATAAATATAAGAATTATTTCTCATATTTATCAATTTTTTCTAAATTATCCTTATGGATATTCCCTCAACCATAATCAAACAGAAAAGGGAAGGAAGATATTAAAAAAGATGATCACGATATTTTAAAAAAAACATGTCATATTTTTTTATAATTAACTATTTTATCTAATCTAATCAAATTAGTTAAATATATCTTATACTGAGAATTAGACGAGTAACAGTTAATTTCATATTGTCCCGTTAAGTGTTTTTATTTCTTTACCCAAAAAAAAGAAAAGGAAGCGAAGAGCCAACAGAAGGGGATAAATGTACCCCAAAAAAGGACAGAAGGGGATAAGAAACAAGTGTAAAGCGAGGCCCACATGGTTTTGGAATTGGGCCATATTTTTTGCGGTGGGAGAACTGGGCCACTTGGAATATTGAATAAAGCGATCTCTGCATGGTTTCCTTTTGAGGACCCATTATTCAAATTTTGAAATGATGTTGTTTCGGCCGATGAACTCGATGTTAGAGATTCAAACTTTCCGCCACACGGTATCAAAACCCCGTGGTGAACAGCTGTCTCTTCTTCAGTTTCCTTCATTTTGTCTGTTTTTATTTAAATAAAAATAAAGGGAAAAGAAAAGCCACAACCCCACAAAAACAAAAGGAGGTACCTGTTTATTTGTTACAGTGGCGTGGGATCCAACGGCCCATATTGAGAGTTGGAAATTTTTAGACCAGCTCCTGAACGCAAAAATCGCTGTCACTATCCTCCACAAAATATTCGCCTCCCCCAATTGCCCTCTCAAAATCCACGCTCTCTTCCTTTTAACTCCGTCTCTCTCCTTCGCCCTCTCTCCCCTCTCGCTCAATCCCTAACCAAATCAAATCTCACCCCTTTCTCCCTCTCCTTTGATTCGACAATGGCGGCTGCTACCGCTCCTTCGCCTCGCGAAGAGTTCGTCTACATGGCCAAGCTTGCCGAACAAGCCGAGCGCTACGAAGAGATGGTCGAGTTCATGGAGAAGGTCTCTGCCGCCGTCGAGAAGGACGAGCTTACCGTTGAAGAGAGGAATCTCCTCTCTGTTGCCTACAAGAACGTCATCGGTGCTCGCCGTGCCTCCTGGCGTATCATTTCCTCAATCGAGCAGAAGGAGGAGAGCCGAGGGAACGAGGATCATGTCTCCATGATCCGCGACTACCGATCCAAGATCGAGGGTGAGCTATCCAACATCTGCGATGGGATTCTCAAGCTCCTCGACACTCGCCTTATCCCTTCCGCTTCTGCCGGCGATTCCAAGGTCTTTTATCTCAAGATGAAGGGCGATTACCATAGGTACCTTGCCGAGTTCAAGACGGGAGCCGAGCGCAAGGAGGCTGCCGAGAGCACTCTCACTGCTTACAAATCTGCTCAGGTAATTTTTTCCCCTTTCTGTTTTCTTGGGTGAATTTTTGTCCGTATTGCTGGGGTACTTTCTGCGACTGAATTTCTCCTCTGTTTGGTTTTTGTTGTCCATTCGGTGCTATGATTTTTCTTTGCATATTTTTACGAGATTAGCATTGTCTCTTTATTATTATGCATCTCATTGAATAGCATTTATTATACATATGGTTAATTCAGCTCCTACACCCCCTCCCTACCCAAAGAACAAAGATTAGCGTAGTTCATGATGCATTGTTTTTGTTGGGGCTTTCTTAGGAACAATTAAATCATTACGCTTTAAATTGCGTTTCTTGTGGACCTGCCGCTTCTTACTTCTAACTTACTGTTCTGTGTTTATGTGACGGTTGTTAAGATTCTACTCAGTCAATTCAATTTTGTTGCCGTGGGTTTACATTTATATTAAACGTTTGTGCATTAAACATTGGAATTGTTTGATCCCGACGCTTGTTCGTTGGTCTAGTCCTTTTAAGATTTGAAGGATTCTGATTCTGATCTTTTTCGTACTTTCTACATTATCTAACTTTAGAAATCCTGCACTTACGAAATCTTTATGTCCATCTTACCCTGCAGGATATTGCAAATGCCGAACTGCCTCCGACTCATCCGATTAGACTCGGTCTTGCTTTGAACTTTTCTGTCTTCTACTATGAGATTCTTAACTCTCCGGACCGTGCTTGCAACCTTGCAAAACAGGTTAGAGCTGGAGGATCTGCTTATCATCTTCTGTGTGTTGTTTTATGTTTGTCATTTGAATCAATTTGTTTGATCTTCGATGCGGGAAGCCAGAAAATGACGCTCATGCCATGGAAAGTGCTTTTATTTAATGCCCATAAATGGGAACCACTTCCGTTGCAACTTCATCTTTGCTTTTTCTTATTGTTAAAGGAACCTTGCTGCTAGGTTACTGCTAAATACTGTATATTCTTTGTACTTATTTTTTGGTTCTTTCTTGAATGGCGAAAGCATTGTTATGAAGCAGCAAGGGCACAACTCAATTGTGACTATTATTGGTTGTGTCTTATACTGTAATTATTTTTATTGAATTGTTGAATTATAAGGGATTTGTATATTTTTCCTATTTGATAGGCCTTTGATGAGGCAATAGCTGAATTGGATACACTGGGAGAGGAATCATACAAGGATAGCACTTTGATCATGCAACTTCTTCGCGATAACCTTACCCTCTGGACCTCTGACATGCAGGTAATGTTATTGAGTTTTGCCATACCCCTCTGGATCTCATCACTTTATTACATGATTAAAGTTTACTTAACCTGTTTGTTAATTTGGTTTCATTTTGTGATCGGATTTCAGGAAGAGGGAGCAGACGAAATCAAAGAAGCAGCAGCTGCTCCTAAACCTGACGAGGAAAAGCAGTAAAAAAATAATTTACTATCAAGTAGAATTGAACTTCACCTCTACATGTTTTTGAAGGGAGAAGTTGTTTGTCGTTAAGTTCGACGCTACAGATATTTTAGGCATTCATGTCTGTGATGAATTATGGATGTACTGGGCCCTTTTAGTCTGTCCTTCCATTGTTTACTTGTTTTTGAATCTATTTTCTTGTGAACATCGCGCGGTTTAATCATATGCAAGTGGAATTTCAAGGTTCTATTCTATCTCCTCCATCGAATGGGATCTATTCTGAATGGGGGAATATTGGCAATGGGCCAATAAAAGGGGGGTCCTGGCACATGCAACTTTATGGAAAAGAAAAGAATGCTTGCTATATTGGCTAATAAATTAACATTAATTGTTCTGACGTGACCAAAAATAACATTCGCATCTACATAACCCCGCGAAGCTTTTTGGGTGCCAATTTGAGAAATGTTTGTTGGAATAATTGAGAATTACAAGTTAGTTAATGTATGCTGTTTCTGCTATCATCAAAGGCGGCGAATCAAGAATTTAAAAATTTGTAAGGAGGTTTATGTAGTTCAAAAGTAAAAATGTTTACATATATTCTTTTAGTTAATCTAGTTTCTCAAGACAATTATGTGGCGTTATGACTGTGACATTTAAAAATGAGTTTACGTGAGGGTTAGACATTAAAATTGTTTATATGCATGAACTATAAAACCAGAAATTATTTCTCTTATGCTTTTCTCTCTCTCTTTTTTGTTCCTCCTTTCCCACGCAAGTCTTCTCTTATTTCATTGTTTTTTTTCCCCCTAAAGCCTTATATTTGAGGCAATTATATTCAAAACACTGTTAGGCACTAAATATAAGTATATATCTTAATAAGAATTTAAACTTTGATTTTTTATATTATGAGGGATTAATTCTTTTTGCTAGACCCAGCATCCATTAGTTTTTGCATAGGTTTTCGCTTTTTTTCTTGGTAATTCTAATCCTCTGGTACTATTGTGGTTTGACATTAAAGGTGATTAGCTGAGAATAAACACACAAAATAAAGAATAAGGAAATTTTGATAATCAAATATGAAGATTAAGAAGGTTGAGAGACTCAGATGTTGAGGATGAAAAAAGAAACTGTGAACGCCCACCGAAGCAAGTAGTGCTTGTGCCTCCGTGGTCGACAATTTTAAGTTAAGAGAGCCACGACTGAAAGGCCAAGAAGGGAAGGTGAAGCTTATGGATTTCGTTGCCCAGTTCTTGGGATTTTCAGCTAGAATTGGTGCATTTATTTGGTGTATCGCTCATTTTTAACCACGTCCTAATCTTGACAATTATGTCCAAGTCAATTGCTAACACATGGAGCCACTCATTTGTGGTCGTGGCTTGTACCTCCCAATAAAATCAAGCTCGAGCAATTCATTAGTGGAGATAACATCATATTTTACTTGAAATGGACTAAACATATTCGCATCATATGAGATGCAGTCTTATTAATAACATCAACGCTCACTTTAGGCTGCTTCCCTCTGCTTTCCCTCGGTGACTTAAGATGCCTTATTCAACGGTTGCCTTGCCTTGATTTATGATTAAGTTTTTGAGCTTAGGATGCGTCCATGTGCCTTACTTCAAAGTTCTTGTACACCATATCAAGCATCATTTTAATAGAAAAAAGATGCAATGTAAAAAAGAAAAGGTAGAGAAATTAACTAGAAGCTTCAAACTCCACATCTCTATTTTTCCAAATTAAATTCATTAAAATTTATGGAAACAACATAGTTTGATTAATTCAGTCTTGCCCAAAATCATGCACACAAATCAATTTAGTAAACTCTGGTGTTCTTCTGTTCTCTTTGCCATGTAATTTCCTCTAAGTCGTTAAGTAACTGCCACATGCATTGGTATGGCTCCTTCTTGATTTCAATTTGCTGGAAATAGTAACAAAGTATAACTTCAATCTTTCTTTGGTCGACCTCAGCATTACTAGCCGTTGAACTGAGGAAACCCAATTATAGCCTCGTGAAAGACGAGAAGCAGAGCATAATGAGGCTTTTGGTACAGTTGGGTAGTTTCGGCAACAAATGGTAATTTGGTCTGTCTTTCTTTCTTTCTTTATTCATGCAACTAGACATTTGCCCTTTAATGTTGTATGAAATTTGATAGAAGTAACTAATGATGAAAGTATTATATCTACAAAAAGACTCTTCTGTCATCGAACCGAGAAAATTAGTACGCATTAAATTTGTTGGCAATAAATTTTGAACTTCCATAGAACTAAGAGAAGGTCCTTTTTCATATCATGATTCCACTTCCATGAAATGGTATAGGCAACGGAAAAGCGCACTCTCCATCGATCTCCCAAGGAGAGTGCCAGTGATTGATTGGCGGGGTGATATTCAGCGCTTCACATCTGAACTCTGAATCCAGAAACCGTAACTCAGCAGAAAAAACTGGAGGACCCCATATCTAGAACCAATTCTCAGTACTCATCAATCACCATATCAAGAGTCGATGGCACATACGAATTGTTGGTGTGACTGATGCACGAGGACCCCACTATAATCCACACTCACGGTATCGAGTTTTTTGTTTTTGTTTTGCATAATACAATTCAGATCGGTGCTAATAATTAAATATTACTTTCAGCTTCAATTATAAAACCTCATTTGCAGTGAACAAATAAAATCTTACACTTAGAAGCGGAGATAATATTCCGTCAGCAGCACATTTTACGCATGTCATGTAAGGACTCCCAAGATTTCGGTCGACAATGGAGAATTACTATCCTGTTCCTGATAACATGTTAAAATTCAGCAAAAACAGTTGAGCCCCATCAAGAGTCAACAGTAAGGATAAGCACCCGAAAATCTGTCTCAAACCCTTCTTGCCAGACGGAAGTTGGCCAATGATTGAGTGCCCATCATTACATTTTTGCATATTGCAGTCCCCAACACATGGATAATTGAGTTAGCCAGGCTTTCGGCTTCAGAGGCGTCAGTCAGCAGCGAGGCAGCAACATGGGGGACCATGAATAAACTGGTTCAGTAATTCCAGAACCAGATTGATTGCCTGAACCCAAATGATTAGGTCTGGCTATGCTGTTTAAAGAATGCCAGAAAATATAACCGCGAGGAATTCGATATAACAGAGATTTCAGACCAACATTATCATATATTGAAATCGTAATGCATCAACTTTCCACCGTATTTGTATGGCTTGTAAACCCCCCCCCCCCCCCCAAAAAAAACCAAAATCCCAAAAATGCATAAACATAACAAAGATTTTTCTTTTAGAATGCCTTAGACGCCCCATTTACAGACTAAAGTATGCAATGGTGGGCTAGTTCCACTTCCAGTCCCACCACTAGAAAATGAATAAACCCCATTCCCTGTGCCTAAAAGCCATGTACAAGAGCCACAAAAAAACATATTCTAAACCCTAACCAGTAATATTTTTCTGACCAGTCTTGCCCTTAGCTCACGAAGTGCTCGTTCAGAGGCCTCTCCATGTAGGGCTTGGAAGAGGTACTGTAGGCGAAAGGGGAAACTGGGGAAACCCTAGTTGACCCGACGATGGCGAAAACAGAAGAGTTGGGGAAAGCAGGGGGTAGGGCGATCTCGGGGAGTTCAAGCATCCAAAAGGGACCGGAGACGACGGCGTCTGAAACTGCGACTGCGATTGTGCCCCTGCTGTTGTTTGCGAAGAAGCAATGTGCTGAGGCTGCGATCGTGGTTCCGGCTGAGGCTGTTGCGGAGTAAAGTTGTTCCAGCGAGGCGAGACCAGAGGAGCTAAGGGCGAGAATCCCGAGAACTGCTTGGAATTAGAATCGACGTTGGACACTGAATTCTGCAGATAGCGCATGTATGCAGAGACAGGAGACTCAGCGGCTGCGTGGACGGTTGGAAACGGTGGAAGAGGAGATAACGGCGCGAGGGGTCTTCCAAAGCCTGAGAAATTGTTGACGGGAAACGCGTTGACGGCGTTGTTGGGGATTGCCGAGTGAGGGTTCACAGTGGGTGGTTGAGGAGGGGGTACAGCGCTGTTTAGCAACGGGGGCGGGCGATTGCTAATCTGCGCGAGGGGAGGAGGGCGAATCCGCTGCAGGCGAGAACTTGGGGGTTTGGGCTGCTGAATAGGTGGGGGAGTAGACATGCGCTCGTGAGCAGGCGAACCCGTGAGCTTCTGAACCACATCTCTGAAATCGTTCTTGTTGATGTTGTACACGGGGGGCTGATTCTGCAAACCCTGTTGCGGCTGCGGCGGCGGAGGCGGAGGCGGAGGCTGCTGCTGTGACGGATTGTGGCTGAAGCTATGGTTTTGTTGTTGATTTTGGGAAGAATCGAAGGTGGGCTTTTTAGCACCGATGGGCTTGGAAATCTTGTGAGAAAACTTGTTAAGTTGCCTGAGATATTGATCTCTGCTATTATTGCCGGTGGAGTTTGCGTTACCGCTGCTGCCTATGGCCGTAGTAAAAGTAGCATTACGAGAAGATTCAGCAGAGGATGGACAGCTTTTATCCATCACAACAAAACTTTGTAGATCCAAAAATCTCAGCCTCGGCTTAGACTTTAGACTCTAGAGCAAAGGTACGCCGGTGTGAGTTTGTGTGGTTGTTTGGTGGGCTTCCTCTGATCACAGAACGGCGAGTAGGGACAGAGCACGGAGAAGATTATATGGAAATGATTTTTAACTCGCAGTGCTCGAAGCTGTGGTCAAAATCGCAAAATAAATCGCATTTTTCACTAATGAAAGAAAAAGATGGAATCTTATGGCTGTCTCGCTGCTTGTCTTCTGCGCGATACGGGCTTTAAGTTAAAAGAAGAGAGGAGACACCAACAGCAAAAGAAGGGAAAGCCAGGAAAACACTTATCATATTTCTCTCTTCAAGGTTGATTAATTATTAATATAATGTTCCTATATGCTAATCAACGAATGAACCTTTCCCTTGGACGCACTGTGAAAGGCGGGGCGTCGGGGGCAGAGGCGAACTTGAAAAAGAAACAGTTTATTTTATTTATTCATTTCTTTTATGACTGTGGTAGCCCTAACGCTGGGGCCAGCGATTCAGAGGCCAAGGCTTGAAAATGGGCCACGGTCATTAATCTCTATGGCTGGTCAAAAGCGGTACTACTCTATGATTGGAGCAATGTCTGAACTTTGAAAGTTTGAAGCATCGAGCACGATCGACGTGCCTTGCCTTGGCTCCTAGCGTACTATAGACTTGACCACGGAATCTCAGATCATGTACGTCCATGAATTAAGCATAAGGAGCAACCAAGGGAGATAATGAATCTCCACTCCAAGTTCTCTACTGCATCCCCAGATCATGTGGCCCTGGTTTCACCTTTATTAAACAGGGAAGGTCGTTGCGATTATGAGTTATTAAACAGGAAGGTCGGTGCGATTATGAATTAATTTTAGGCCAGAATAAGAGCATTTTTACTATTAGGCACCCCATGGAATAGGACCATTGTGTGTTGTTTGGGGCGAGTGTGGAGGCGGAATTAAGTATTTTAAGTACGTAATTAATGGCGCTAGTGAATTTCCAAAACCTGCTTGGATTCCCTGTTACGGTCAAAAGGCAGTCACACTGCACTGTGCTGGTCAGTGATTCTATTGTGGATCCTTCTTTCCAAACTTCCAATGAGCTTTTGACTCCACATTCATCATTGCCTCTAAAATTCTCTCCGGAGTAACCGGTTTCAGGAAATTAAATAAAGCCATAAAGCTGCAAAAGGGCCAAAAAAAAAATCATCATAGGAATAATGAAACAATATAATAAAAAAATAATTAATAAAAATCTATTTTTTGTTATTAAATTTAAAATTTATAACTAGAACTGGAAGTATGATATTTTCTCCTTCCCTACCGTGTCAGTCGCGCGCGGCGCGTCCCCATCCTAGCCAGCCTTCCACCTTTTGATATTTTGTAATTTTGTTGATGAACAAAAGGTTCCGTCATGAGTTCATACTGAAGAAAGGCAGGATACTCATATAGCTTATCTTTTTGGATTTTATTATATTTCCCTTGTGAATTATATTCCTTCTTCGCCATTTTCCCAGCTAGTAGTATTAATGATTTGTTTATTCATCAGGAAATATTTTATTTTGAGTGGGGAGCTTTTAACTGGATTCTAATAGCATCCTATTCTATAATCTCGTTGCTGTGCAGTTATCTTTGCTTTTGAATAAAAAACTTAAATAAGTGATTACACTCCTCTCTTTCAAAAAAAAAAATTGAATTTATTGTTCTTTTAGGCCGCAACATGCTGCCACTAGTATATATTTGGTGAAACAAAATTATACATACTGATATATAAATGTTACTCAAATTAAACAGAAAAGGGGGAATAGATGAGAGCGACTATAAAATTTCAGTCCACTGTGACTGTTCCAGTCAACAAAATTTGTAAAAGCCAATCCATATCCAGAATACTCTTTTTATCCGGGGAGCCACTATCGTCACGAAAGTGATTGGTAGCCACAAGAAGACTTTTGGGGAGGAAAGGGCCGGAACCATAATTATATAAGGTCGTGGGGGATGCTGACAAAACTGAAACGTGAGTTTTATTTTTTTTTAATACACTGCAAATTCTATAAGCATTTTAATGATTTTATAATGGATAGCCAGCCAATCAAGCTAGCGTTGAAGATATATGAGAAATGCCAAAGCGGTTAGTGGCGGGGCAGACAAATCCCATTTCAGCCCGAGAAGATAAATATGGCCACTCATGGAAGTTGAAATAGAAGGGCCGATATATATAACATCTTTGAGCAAAAACGCAGAATGTGGCCCACCGTTCATATGATTGAATTTGAAACTGCCGTAGCTTACTCTTAACCTACTGTTTCTCTGTTGACTGAACAAAGAAATCACCACTTTATGGCAGCGTATGTATTGGGCGTGTTCAAGGGGCAACCGCGATAGAATCTCACGCATTGGCCTCATAGTTTATGCATCTCATTGGTTTTATTATACAGTATATTGTATTGTTTTTGTTTATGCATCTCTATGTCTGTAATGACAATATGGTTGTGGTGCAGCGCTTTGGCCCTGGCCTGCGTCTCTCTGTGTGGCTTTTTTTTACTGTTCGAATGTTCAATTTTTTTCAAGTGATGATGGCGAGGTTTCTCGTGCGCCTTTTGTTTTCCTCCCCCCATCAGTCGTTTTGCGTATAGTAGATTATGAAATGTACTTAAAAATACCTCAAACTCCTAACTTTTCTAACATGCTTTTAATTATTAGATGTAGCTTGATTTTTCCAGTGAAGTTAGACTGCTCTTCACATAGTTCGTGATGCTTCACAAGCTAAGAAAGTATGGTTGAGATTAGCCAAACCACACATGCTTAATAACCTTTGATTTATACGTGCAGGACTGGATAATGTGGGAGCCAGGAAATGAAATGGGAAGCGGATGGGCCTAGAAATAACCTCGGCAAAGAATATAGGCTTGAACTTGTTGGCTGTTACAGAAGAATAGATGCCACAAAATGTATTTTCCAGATCGATATAAGGGCACTAACGTGGTGTTTCTGTCCACTCAAATTGTATCAGGGGACTTAAAACTTGGAGATTGAAGGGGGAAATTGGCCAACGGAGTTTGCAAGAGAGAGGGCAATGGCTGAACGCATCTGACCCTGACTGGGCGAAACTTGATGTTGATCGTTACCTATAAAAGCACGTGCGTAGAGAAGATAATGCGTATACAGACTGAATTGCAAGTTTTGCTCATAACATCGACACGGCATCTACGGTTTTGAAGGAGCCTTCTTGGGTACTTTGTTTGGATCTTATCGGTTCTTTGCAGGGTATAAAGCCTCCCCTCCGGAAAAAAAAAAAAAAAAAACAGAAGAAAAAGAAGAAGTAACGTACTTTCTTAGTCACTGTTTTTAAACTATTGATTAAGGGTTTGTATATAAGGATTTTAAACTGTTTTTTTTTTTTTTTGGGTTGGCATCAGGTTCATTTAATTGAAAAAACTGAGTCACAGAGCCAACTTGTTGGTTTCTATCCAGAAAAGAGTGCTTGGACATACCAAAGGCAGTTCTAGAAGCCGTAACAACGACGCTAGTTCGTGTTTTTTTTTTTTTTTGTGACGGGGCTTATTAGCCGGCGAAGCAAGAGAGTGTTTTTCTCATGAGGTGTTTGGTAACCTTCAAACTATGGTTTCAGAAATATTTTTATGTAAAACGAAACAAATTTTTCACATATTTATTTCGTAAACCGTAAAAACACTTTTGAAATTATAGTTTAGTTTTTATCAAACACCGCTTTGGTTATTATTAGTATCATCTTTTTATCTGGACTCTCACACAAACAGACAGACGGAGAGTCAGATGTTGCTTCGAGTTTTTTTTTTTTTTCATTTAAAAGATAATTTGAATATTTCAGTGATCATTTATATATTAAATATCTATTAGATTTATTTATGAATTATGAGCACAAAAGTGAATTTGGGATGTTTTCAGTATGGCCAGAAACAAGGTGAAAAAAATGCTTGCTCATTCAAACTAGTTGTAATTTTTACGATCATTCACAATAAAATATTTGTTATTGGTTGTTATAACAATTAATGACAATATATTGGTAATTTTTTTCCCAACATATTGGTATTTTAGTTTTTTTTTTTCCAGCAACATATTGGTATTTTAAACTCTCTGTTGCTCGAGGAATCAGATAAAATATCAAACTGCTTTGTTGTGGGGAAGATACAAAAGCAGGAAATGCATTGGAATGCTTGCAATAATGTTTGGGCTTGTATCAAAAATTTGGGCTTGGAGCTGTGAGCCCATTTTAATTGACTCATAGTGGCGCTGGAGAACTGAAAAACCCGGTTCATGTCATCCTTGTATTCAAATTTACGCAACGGATCGCCAAGCTTGACTGCAACTGGGTCAGATTTTTCTGGACCTTAATTAAAAAGGACTGCCCTTATCCTGTGTGCGCGCTAGGTCGGCCGAAATAAAAAGGGACTGTGTGGGGAGAGCCCTAGCTAGGGATGGTGGGTCCGATTCCGCTTTTAGGGTCTTGGATCTTGGTATGGAGGACTGCTGTTGTTTCGGGTTAAATTGCTAGTGTGGGCCCCGTAATCACCACCGTCAGCTTTTCAGTTTTCACCGAGGCAGTAGCTAGCTGGGTAAATTTTTGGCCCTCGACCTTAGCTCTCCAACCCCAGTTCGATCCCAAAACTGATTCTGTTCTTGTCTTCCTCTCTTTTTTGTTTTGGCCGCCTCCTCCCTTACCTCCTCACTGCGGGTTGCCCTCCTTCATCAATGGCGGAAGCTACGGCAGAAAAATCCTCTGCTCTTGCTGAGGTACTCGTTCATTTCTCTTTTGCGGCCATCCATGTGGATTGTTTACTTTAGTCCTCTTGAATTAATGTTTGTCAGTTATGTGTTTCATGTTGATTCCACCTTCCAAAATGTTCATGGGCCATCGTTTTCATCTGAATAAGTTTTGATTCTGGCGGATCAGTGAGGGTTTATGCGGGAATTATTTCCGCGGAATGATTTTTATGTAAGCTGTTTCATCGATACCCTTCCCAAGTTTCACCCATTTGAATAGGGAAAAAAAATCGAACCTTGATTTAATCTGGTAACAATTTAGAGCTCTGGTCTGGGAATTGGTTGGTTTAATTTGTACTCAAGTCAATTATTCTATCTTGTTCGATTTGTCTCTTGAAATAACTAACGACCTCCCACATGAGAATCTTATACTCGATCGCTAGCATGATTATACATGTTCATAATGCTCAAAATGAAAACAAGGGTCTTCTTTTCTTGATGCATTTGTCTTTTGCTGATCGAAGCCAGCCATGGCGTAGTCGTTTAATGGTTAAGAATAAAATATCAGGTTGCCTTCCAGAAATTATATGCGGTGTCATGCGCATAAGTTCAAGCCTCTATAATGGCCTATCAATGTTATTCTAGAGATATTTGCCAGGTTTAATCTGCTTGATCCTTATTGCCCTCTGTATTCTAACCTGTCTTCTATATACCTGTTCATTGAGTAATGAGATCGGCAAAAGAATCGGTTAATTTAAATAAATTAACATGCGGGAATTTGAAGACTTTCCTCATGCTTAGTGTCTTAGTAGCAGACTTTATTGCCTAATCTGTTTCCATAATTGATTGCTTGGTCATATCCTATATTCACCTTATATGGGCAATTGAGAAACGGGAGAATCAGATTTATCTTGTGGATATTTGACCCACTAATGGGTCTGGAAATATTAAATACATTGAAATACAAGTTCCGGTTGAACATGTTTTTTGCATAACTTGTTTCTATCTTTCCAGCAGCCCAGTGACTGGTGGAGACGTTGAACGCTTTCTATCATCAGCTGAAAGTCAATCATTTGGACTGTTTTATTTGCTTTCTTTGACACTAGCTGATCGGTCTATTCTTGTCATGAGTCAAGACACGTTTGCATACACTAAACATCTTTTTCTCCCCTTACTCCTGGATCTGCAGCAATATTTTGTGAAGGAAAATGAGGAGAAAACAGAAACAAGCACAAAATCCGTGGAGGTCAAAGAAGTTGAAGCCCCTAAGGAGATAGCTTCTCAAGAAGCCATTGCTGAGAAGACTGTGGAAGCAGCCACTGCAGTTGCCCCCGCGGTTACTGAGGAAAGCAGTGAAGTCGTTCCAGCTGCTGAAGAAAGCACTGAATCCAACTCTGATGCTTCTGAAGGAAGCAACAATGCAACTACAGAGCAAAATAGTGAAAATACTGATGAAAACTCGAGTGAACCAGAAGCAGCAGAAGAAACCCCACAAATCAAGGTTGCATTTACTTAGCCTAATGTGATTCCTCTCAAGAATAGCAACCTATTTTCATAGTGAGAATGCTTTTTAATTTCATTTTGGTTTTGCTTATTCTTATTTGTGTTGTCGTTTCCAGCTTGAGACTGCTCCAGCTGATTTCCGCTTCCCAACTACAAATCAAACTAGGCATTGCTTTACTCGATATGTTGAGTATCACCGGTGAGCCATAGTCTTTTGCTTTTTGTTTTGATTAAGCTTATTTTTCACACTTTCTGAATAACTCATCATATTATGTTTTACAACCTTATGATACCTGTGTAGATGCGTAGCTGCTAAAGGAGAAGGTGCCCCAGAATGTGACAAGTTTGCAAAATATTACCGTTCTCTCTGTCCTGGGGAATGGGTATGTATTTCAACAGGCATTCAACGTGATTAATCACTCGCTAGTGCTAATGGGCAGCATTAGGATCTATTCATCTGTTTAGATTGCTTTGCCTGCATGCATATCTTGCTTTATGATTCTATGTCCAGTATCTTTCTAACATTAGAGGGAGAATCTTTAGGATTAGATACATTGACATAGCTCCTTCACGCAAAGCCTACATCTCTGTGGAGCTCAGTCTGCATTTTTTTTCTCTTGCTTAAACCTCAAGTCTTTTCCCTTTCTTCTCTCTTCCCTCTATTAACTTCCCAGCCCGACCCTAAAATCTTATGACTTGAGGTTACATTCTGATCTCCTATAGTGACAACTTGCCCTAGTTTGCTGTTAGATTATATGGATACGCATATATATAAGATGGCTAGATCAAAAGATTTTATAAGTCAGGTTAGGGGGTGTTTGGATGGAAACCAAACTATGGTTTCAGAAGTGCTTTTACGGTTTACGAAATAAATATATGGAGGAGTTTGCCTCGTTTTGCGAAAAAGTCCTTCTGAGAAGCACTTTTGAGGGTTGCCAAACACCTCCTAAGTAATCAATTTATATGAAATTGCACTACTCATAAATCATAAATAATCATGCGTCTTACCTTAGAATTTTTGCAAAGCATGCGACGCAATCTATTAAATTTTGAATTAGATATATATGCTTTGTTATGATAAACCCTGCGATGTCAATTTTGAATTAGGGATGTCTTGTCAAGTTGAATAAATGTAACTATCTTGTAGACTTGTACATCCTGCAAAAGCTTGAATATCTTTAACTCTGTTTCCTTTGCTGCCGCTAATTCAAGATCGAAATGCGGGGCTGACATTTGCTTTTGTGCATGTATGTGTTTACCAGATTGACAGATGGAATGAGCAAAGGGAGAACGGAACATTCCCTGGTCCTCTGTAGGATGTTGCTTCCCCGAAATTATCTACACAAGTCTCCTGCTTCTGTCACATTGAAATTGTTATTCGGCTTCACATAAAAAAATCTGCTGAGAGATCCAAACTCTCAACCCCATGGGGCATGTTGAATGTTATACAATCAATCAATAAGAAATTTTGACTATCTATTTGAACTAGCTTGAGTTCGAATACGGATGCTTTCGTTGCTGATAAAGAGTCGATTGACTGTTTTGAATTATCTTAAAATTCCAGTTCCTATTCAGATTTTTTTTTTTTTCAATTTCTGCACCACCGGGTTAATGCAACCCAAGAAACAAACCTTGGAATACGTTACATTTGATGGTTGATTTTACAGTAGTTAGGAACCTTTTAAATGGGGGTCATGGTTGGACCGAGGAGGAGAAACGCATGTGGGTGTGTGGCAAGTAGAGAAGTGACGTATCATTCACAAGCTCATATGCACTAATGCATTAATGATTGTTGGTGAATTTAAGCTTGGAAGAAAGGTAGGATGACGTGAAAATTCGGAACATTTTTCAATGATTGTGTTAGTTCTCGACATGCTAATAGTCGGCGCTTCGCTAAGGTATGCCTGAGGCCGAGGTCCTGGGAGTCTTTCCCAATATGAAGTGCGTTTTACAATATTAAGAGGAGCCTTTCCCATCATGTGAATGTCTGATGTGTCCTCATCAGATGAGGTATGTGTATACTTTAGCCGTTACAAGTTTCGTGGAGAAAACCGAAATGTATTTGATTGGATCACTGGATGGAACTCAGGGATTGCCAGGGTAGAATTGCTGATTTTGCTTTGGTGGTTATGATGGGATGTAATGTGAAGAGATATGCGACTAAAAAGGAGAGAGAGAATTCTGATTAAAAAAGGGGGGGGGGGGAGTTACACGGCCCCTGCTAAAAATCTCCGATTACTAAAGATACCATAACCATTATCTCTCAAATTTTTGGAAGGCTGCTTATAAACGTAACTCGATTTTGTGGGCAGTAAGATGTCATCCTCGCTTCTTGAATTCCAACGAAATTGTTAATCAAATCATGTAGCATATAATTGAAACTGTGTTCAGTTATCAGAAAGTGCTTTTCTATCATGCATCTGGATAAGCAATTACATCCTGAAATTGTCCCTCGACCGAAAGCTCAAGTCTCAAAACTTAAAATGGCAGGGAGGGGGTAAAGGGGGAAGAAAAGATCCTATCTGCTGCGGCTCCGCATCTTCTACAATTTGAGTTTGGTAATATCGATTTTTTGAGCCGGATACGTATACGCCTCATAATTGATACTCTGGCCTAAGGTGCTCAATTTTGTGAGAGTAGTTATGAGATCAACCTGAAAAGCAAAAATACAAAGGAACAACGAAAGAGTCAATTCCTAAGCCAAAAAATGACGTTGGCAAAGAAATAAGGTACCATGAATGCGTGCAGTCTAATTTATCGCAGATAATTGTTTTTGCTATACCGTTCCAGACAGTGGTGATCATTCATTAGCAACGGTGCCGATCATGATTGTGACAGCTCAATAGGATGTTTGGGATAATAACTTATTACTGTAACTCTTTTTCTTCCCCTAAAAGCTAAATGGATCTGTATATAGAGTTACCTCATAGTCCGTCTGAGACACAGTTTCTCGGCTCCGTTGGTATTTTTGGACCCATGGAGCAACATCTGGATCAGTGGCCAATAAGGCCTCTGTTGCCATCTGATCAGGACCCAAGAAAGCAGACATAACAGCCAGCTGGTCAACACACAGCACTAGTGAGTCAGTAAGTACCATGTAGCGTAGAATAAAATAAGTGATGCCTTCCTTTTCATTGTTTTACATAGTAATTCTTTGCTTTCTCCACCCTACTTTTGACATTTCAAAAGCTTCTACGAAATAAAAAAAACCAATGGATCTATGAAGTAGCCAATCTAAGAAGTCGACCAAACGAACAGGAGTAACTCAGTCATATACTTCAACTCAAAGATTAAGACTAGCAAGTGCAAGCTGTAGGTGTTAAGCAAAACTGAGAATAGTGAACGAAGTGCGTAAACATTTGCCTGTCCAGCAAAGGATGAAAATCAATGAACTCTTTTTTACCATTTCACGTCCCTGATTGATTCCAAACACAGAAGGCTGTTATGATATTGCTTTTCAAGGTATATTCGTCTGTAGCAATTTACTCTTGTTAGCATTCTATGACTGAAAAAAAATTAGGGATTTCCAGTTAAGAATTTGCTTGAATTAAACGTGTGAGGATTTACTCCTCTCATCTTGAGGCCAGAACAAAATATTGCACGTCAGGCTATGCTGTGGTGCATGATAAAAACCAGGAAGGTAGCATTCTCAAAGCATACATGACATTTTGATGCCTTTCTATGTTCCATTTAGGGGTCAGGACACGATATATGTAGTGTATAAATAACGTAAAGTACCTGACGAGGTCCAAAGCCAACAGCAGAAAACCTGTCTTTCATTTCCTTGACACTAGCTTTCTCCCACAGAGGAACTCTACCCTCTGGATCTGGATCTTGAGCATCTGCCCTACCAAATTGCTTATCGAACAAACCCCACTGATTCAACAATAAGAATTGCATGCATTACATGTGCAACTCATGGAAGTTTAAGTAGGAAGCTGTAAGATTACTGAGGAGAGACTGCATATTACATGCTCAACAATATGAAGCGCATGCATCACATGCTCTAACAGTAGATCCTTGAGTAGCCTATTGCTAAGATTTCAAGTTGTAAAAATGGCAATAAACCAACGTATCATTAGCACAGATTTCACAAGAAATGTGTGCGTCCTCATCATCTTAAAAGAAATAAGATGAAGACCCACTAAAAGTTGAAAAGTTTGAAAGCAGAGAAGATTAAAAGGATATACACCTGCCCGTTTGATCCATAAGCATTGTATAACAAGTTCCCCTTTTCTTCATTTCCACCACACTTGCGAATGGCAGAAGCTAAGAATGTAGCCTTGACAGCACTTTGGGCTACAAAATGATTAAGCCAATATCAGGGAACAGAATACTAACCATCGAACACAAATAGATTTAACCTTCCTTATCCAACAGAATCAAAATCAAAACACGGATAAAACCCCATTTTCACGTGCAGTGTGTGTTGTTCATAAATTTCGAGTTTCAGCTTGATGATATTAAAATATATAACCTGCAGACTGGATCAGATCTGCAAATGATATGGGTCCACCCTTGGAATATGAATCAATCTCCTTTTTCGCTTCCTCTAATAAATTCAAGGCTGCAGAAAGTCCTTTATTTTCAGGTCTACTTATTTCTGGGCTTCAGGCAAGGAAAAAAAAAGGAAGAAAATAGTATGGTTATCATTGAGCAAAAGGTAAAAACCCAACGTCACAAAGGAGGAGGAAAACTTTTGAAGTGCAACCAAAAGCTTACTAATAAAACATGAAATTAAAGATAGACTAAAGAACAAGTTGGCATAACATCCATGACTTGACGCTTTTCTCATCCCTATAACCAGAAATTACTTTTAAAATGCTGGTAATTTTCTATGCAGCAAAATAATATTCAGGATATACCAAAATAATAGAGTGTATGAAGTGCTCATGTCTTGTGTCCATCAAACATTTAAATTCCTATATGCTTTAGTTGCATGCTCCTTGAAGTTACTGCCCAAGGAAAAGAAATACCTGAACCGTATCGATCCGTTTGGGCCACCTGTTTTTGTTGCCTACAAACTTAATCAGATGCCAATCAGTATTTGTTTTCAAAGGGTGATGATACCACAAACACACACACACACACTCTCGCTTCTCACCTTATCATAAGTCATAGCATCATTCAAAGCCAATGTTAGTACGGATGGAATAATATCAGGATTTCCCTGAAATCAGTTCAGGTGTTATAGGTCATTTCCGCATTTGTAGTTCAATTATGTGGAAAATAAACACACAAAGATTATGATATATCATCTCTATTTTGTATACAGACAATTTTAACTGTGAGGAAAACCAGTCAGCATTACATACCTTTATGACCGTATAAAGTGTTCCCTTGATATTAGCTGTATGAGCATTAAGTTAGAACTCTGCAGAGCATAGCGATCAATTGACTTTGACATTGACTCGCATGAAAATGTTGATCTAAACAAACTTACAAAGAAATTCAGAACGCTGTCTTCGTTGTATCAAATCAGCAGCATTAGCGACCCCAACAAGGGATGAAGAGCTTTCTATCAGTCCCTACAAAGAGATACCACTGGCGGAAACTCATCATCACATCACTCGCATCCATTAATTCTATATATTATACGTATATAAGCATGACAAGCCTACAGTGACAGATACGCATGTTTCCATTGCGGAGAGAAGTCTGTTGAGCTAGGATATGAAGTTAAATTGCACAAAGTGATGTTGCTTTGGTAGCCATTGAAGGCAATAAATCGAGGAAATTTTCGAAGAACTAGAATCAAGAGATGGCTCTTACCAGCCCGATTGTAGTCCCGAAGCAGCGAAGAATGTGTCTTCGATGGAACCGATCTTCACCACTAACATCAATTTCGATTTTATTACAAGTAATGGATACCTAGTAAAATATAGAACAAAGATTATTAGCCACAAGCAACCGTTGATAGGTTTTTAAACACAGCTGCATAATCAGCACACTGATGTGGGTCATAACTGAAACCCATGTTGTCATGAACATTAGTGAACTCAAGAAACATCGCAAAGCAAGAATTTCAACTACATTTATGATACAAAAATCCGTACGCTGATATGATGGCTTAGCATACTTACAGCACGAGAGGAGCATCTGGTGATGGTGGGAGACGAGTCACAAGCAAGTGGGAGCAGAGAAGGGAAAGTCGAGAGGAAGGAGACACCCACCATTGCGGTCACTATACTGTTGCGCGTATCTGACAGAAAAATATCCCAACATGCAGAATGGAAGATTATGTGTTGGAGAGTGTATGAACTAAGGGGTTGAAGATTGCATTATCCTATCCAGTTCTACGATACTGGAGCGGTGTCCTGAGATTCTTTTTGCTACTGGATAGATTGGCTCATCGTGACCCTACCACTGCTCCACCCTAGTCTCTGTTTCTTATTTTTTTTGGGTTCAGTAATGTGCAGGTATTTTCGATATTCTGAGTCTCTGATGCATTTGATTTATCTGATGCAACGTTATTCTAATTACTCCTTCAGCGACTATTATTTCTTTTTGTCCTTAAACATGAATAACATTTATAAGTTGTCTTAAATTTTTATAGTAAATTCTTCATTTTATCCTTATTAATTATTTATTTTAATACTCAATATATTTATTATCTTGTTTCTCAGATCATTATCTCTCCATCACACATTCTTTTTCTTTTATAATTCTTTTTATTATAATATTTGTTATTCTCTTTCTTATACTTTTTTCTCTCATAAATAAAGGTATTTTGGAGAAAAAAATTATAATTTTTACACATTTATTGTATTTAACTAATTTAAAGTAACATTTTGATCTGCGTGATAAATTCCAATGTTACTTATAAAAAAGCATAGAGGTAGTAGTTAAATTCATAGTATTCCGACCCACAGATCCGTCTGGCGAGGTAAAAAAAAAAAAAAAAACCAACAAATCCCATGTTTTCAATTAAAATAATTTTTCAATTCACTTGATTAGTAGTTTGAATGCATGTTTCACCAGATTAATATATGTATCTAGAATTGTTGGCCAAAAAAAAAAAACATTTGTGTCTAGAATTGTCATCAAAAGAAAAATATTAGAAAAATTAATCTCTAGTCCTTATAGTTTTAGTTAGTTTTGAATTAATTCTTCAAACTTTTTTTTTATTTTTATTAGATCCTTTTTAAGCTTTTTTTTTTGGGTTAAATTCATAGCTCCTTCTGTTAAAACTTCTGTTAAAGTGGTGCAAGGTTGCATACTAGGTGGAATTATTTTGTCCAAATAAAGCTTGACTAAGCATCCAGCTAGATTTCATACCCAGTCTTGTTAGGGGTCACTTCGGGTGTGTTTGGGTGACACCCCAAACCATGGTTTGGGGAATAATCTACCCAAACACCCCCTCCAAAAACCAAAACCATGGTTTTGGAAAAAGTAAAATTTTTTTGCTTTTGGAAGAAAAAAGGAGAGTGTGAGGGCCTATATGATATGTATCTTGTTATTTTTTTTATAAACATATTTTTTATAAATATATTTAATCTTATATTTTATAAATATATATACACATTAATTATTTATTAATTATATTATCTTATGTATTATTAATTATGTTGGTAAAAAAACATATTATTAACAATTTATTCCTTCAAATTAAAATATATCATAAAATCTATTTTTTCTGTAATTATCATATTAACTTATGTCTTTTTTTAGTAATTTGTATATATAAAAAGTGCTTCTGATAACAACTATCCAAACACTCTCACTTCTCAGAATCACTTTTTTACAAAATCTATTCTTCACAGAATCTATTTTCCCAGAATCTATTCTCAGAATCACTTTTCAAACCACGGTTTGGTTTCATCCAAACACACCCTTCTTCTGTCAGAGTTTGCTAAGCGTCCAGCTAGATTTTATGCTAACATCGACTCCTATACACACTTCCTTACTTGCTTTCATTCCCAAAATGTGTTCAGTTCTATCTCCCAGACCCAAACCAGTACCCACCGACTCTCGTTCTCTTCATTCGTCTTCCTTCTAGATCAGAAAATTTGAGTGGAATGAGAGCACAAATGGGATCGTCAGAATTGCATCACAAACATTGCATCGTGGCTCTGAATCATCACGTCTTCCTTTGCCTTGTTGTGCTGGTACAACACCAGCGACTCAAACTTCATCGCCTTCCACGCCACCGACCTCATCAGCATAGATTTCTCTAGTGTCGTTAAAGGCTCTCGTGGAAGGAACCCAAATATATTCAATTCTTCAATTCAACTACAGTATATTTCCTTGCCATCTAATAACTATCAATACTAAGGCATTCACTCATTTCTCTTTCATCACTCCAAATATGGCATTGTATCAATTTGAGGTCGAACTAGAAGAAAACACAAGAATAATCTGAAAAGAAACCATCGGACTCTGTTTGGTTTCTATCTTCCCAAGTTGGAAGAATGGGATCAAATGATTTGGGGATGAAGATTGTCCATGGCGAGGCTGGTTTTATACTTGAAGACATTCCTCATTTCTCCGACTAAATTCCTAATCTTTCCTATCTCTTCTTATTATGTTCTATCTTTACTCTTTGTTTACAGAAATCGAATCAATACTCCTCTCTAAATGCAGTGGTTTGTTTGTGTTTGTAGATATATCCCCTTCATCAGCAACTGGTCTTCGAAGAGACGAGAAGACAATAAAGATTCTTTTAAATCATCTATCAATACAATTAAATAGATTAATTTTAATTTCTAGCTGGATACTTAGTCAAAACTCATTTTGACAAAATAATTCCAGCTAGACACCATCTCACACCGCTTTAACAGAAATTCCAACGGAAGGAGTTTTGAATTTAACCCCAAAAATCCCTTAAAGGATCTAATAAAAAGGAAACAAAAAAAAGGTTTAATGACCTAATTCAAAACTAGCTAGAACTATCAAGAATGGAAGATTAGTTTTTTCAAAAATATGTGCATCTAGAATCAAACGCACAAGACGTTACCCAACTGTCATATGGCCAAAAATTCTAAACAATTGAAAAAAAATTTTGGACCGAAATCAAACAATTGAATGCCTCTGGTAATCAGGAAAACATTAAAACGGGCAAAACACTTCAAAAAAAATACAGCATAAACATTAAAAGCATTTGAAACGGATGGCAAACTTCTTTGGTTTTTCCCCACTACAAAACAGATTTTTTTTTTTAACCAAAAATGCTGCCAAACAGATGGCAAAATTGAATATGAGAATCTTACTCTTGGCCTAACCTAAATTTCCCCTACTGCTCCAAAACTTAATTTTTTTCTTTTTGGAACCAAAGGACGATCAAACACTCGATCGAACAATGTTGGAAATTCAATACCACCCACCATAGGACAATGGTGGCAAGTGATAAACATGACAATAATACGGAGGCTAGAAACTGATTACCATGTCAAGGTTGTTAGCCGACAATTATAAAGAACCACCTCCAAATATGGAGAAGCAATGTAATATGCAAGGCACAGTTGCAAGAAGGAAATGTGGTATTATGTAAGATATCTCAGAACAATTACATTATGTGTCAATGTCTCAATGAGTCACTCCACAGTCTCCAAAAATAAGGCCCCTCTTGACTGAGGGAATGGATAGTGCATCTTCCAAATCCCTATTCAGAACTACCCAGCTTGACATCCCCATCTATAAATTTTACATCAAACCGTATATCCCTCTTTGTCTATTCTATGATAAATTCTTTCAAAAAGAAAAAGGGTATAACTAACAAAGCTATCCGTATATACATATAAACACACTCCCTTGCACCTAGGAATCTACGTGGGAGGAGTTTACAACTCGTGACTCTGTCTGACATAAACAATCCGGTAAAGGATTAGCGTAAAAGGCTTCTTCTGATCGAAATCTATCCATACCCTTTGTCCCAGAAATTGGCCCTCTTCTCTTTCTCGGGGACCCAAGCCTGCACCACACACGCAAAACATAGAGCAAGCAAAAGCCAGTTAAATGGCGTTTGGAGGTACACTACCGCAAGTACATTTTAAAGCTCGCCAAAGTAAGAAATCAGATTCGTCAGCAGGACAAACGGGGAGGAAAAAAATACTCCCATCTCAAAAAATAAGCGTGAATCCTCAAACTATCTTACAAATAGAACCATTCAACATAAATATGGTGCCATCCATAGATGCCTTAGCAAATACTCGATACTTTTCCGGTAACATACCGTCTTCTGTGGAGATCAATAACCTTTTTGGATAAAGTGCTCCCCTCAGTTATCGTTCCCAGATCCAGCTTATCAAACAGACGAACAAGTGCTTTCCTGATTAAAGAAGAGAAATTAAGCAGAACACTTAAGTAATGAATAGGCTGAGGAAGGCAACCGGATATGAAGGAGGAAAACAACCGAAAAAAGAGCCTTGCCTATCTGGAGATATTGTTCTGCCACGTCCTAGAAAACGGCGATGACCTTCAACAGCCCTTGCCATATTTCCAGAGTAAGAGGGTATGAATACATCACTTTCAATAGATACTATATAGTCAAGAGCAGCCATCTGAGAAGCATGACTTAAGAAAGGTTCAAGCTCCTCAGTGGATGCCAACTTTTCCTGAAATTGATCACATGGAGAAAATCAACATATATAAATTCTGTCTTAGCCACCATAACTCCTCAACCAGAACCAGAAGAGTGCAGTTAACAATAGCATTGTTAGTGCTCTTTATCTTCTGGGCTGTAGTTTGCTTTAGGAATTCTACACTAGAAATGACCAACAACAATCTAGACCAGACTTCCTGCCTTGAGCTCACAACGGTAGCACCTACCATTGACAGAAATTATAGCTGCATCTATATGAATTTACCATAAGATCACAAAGTGGAAATAGAAAGGTTCATAATTAGTTAAATCCCGTATACAAGACCTCATTCATGATGAGAAGCTCCCCATGCATGCGGAAAATGGGGGAAGTGAGAACCTTCCAATTATTTCTATAAGAAAAGTTTTCACCCTCCAGACATTTTATCCATTTGGCAATGCTTCCTATTTAATTAAACAAGGAGTAGGGAGTGCAACGATGCGGCGAATGTGTGTGATTTTACAAAAACTTTCCCATAAAACCTTCAAAATTTAACATTTTGATTTCACACCAGCAATTTACGCAGCAAAATTTAACACCGACCTTTACAAGAAATTCAAAATAAGGGTTTTCATGAAATGGATGTCAACCAGAAAAATATAGCAAACACAATAATTTGATTTGTTACCTTGCTCATTAACAATGGATAGCGGGAACGAAGTTCTGCCATATGGGATTCACCCCCATAGATCTCCCCAGCAGCAATATAAATTGGAGTCTTCGATGGGTATCCAAGAGCAGTAAGAAAAATTCCAACTTCCTTTGGGGTCAATGGGCAAAACCCTTTGGATCTCTGTTCTCTGGGATCAATATCCTTTATCTTCCAATGGGAAGTGTTCTCTCTAAGAATTTCAAGTCAAATAAGATTTATAAGCATCAAGAAAGGACATGGGATTCAATCATTTCAAAGCATCCGTACCTGATCATTCGTAGCTCATCGGCTTCAGCTGGAGATAAATTATGTGTGCACCCACTAAATGCAAGCATATCCTTCTCATATCGTAAATGTAGTGCTATGTAAGGACCAAATGACCTCATCCTCTCCACCAACAACTACAAGGAGCCAATGAAAATGAATAAAAAGAATGGAAATAAAAAGCCTTCCGTTAAGTCTTGCACAAATTAATAGATAGGTAAGAAAGAAGCCAATGGGCATTAACATCTTTTATACTTTTCCCATTTGTTCAATTCGCAGAGAAAAACGAAGTGCTTCATAACAAGCACGGCAGCGAAGCTTCTGAATATCTGGAGGTAAACGGTTGTTTGCCAACCGAGAATCAGACTTGGCAGCTCGAATGACCTTAAAAGGTTTCAGTGATTAGATGAGAACACAATATGCTGCAGTATAGTGTAAGCTAAGCGAACAATTACATAGAACTGTATATACCAACAGACATCCATCAGACATACTTGGTATTCTCCCCACAAGCTGGCAATCTCATTCTCATAATAATCCATACCAGACCAACTTCTGAAATGCTTGACTATTCTGGTAACATTAACCAGTTCTCTTGGAAGCTTCTTAACGATTTCTACATCATTAGCTAGAGACTTTATAAAATGCTCTTCATCAAAAACATCTGAGAAATTGCTGCAAATCAAATGAACAAATTAAAAAAGTAATATATGGAATCAAATCAACTAAAATCCAAACCAGAAGAAAGTACAACAAAATATACTTAGAAATTACCTACTGTCTTGCCAAAATGACTTTTTATCAAGTTCTGGAATTACAAGAGTTGCATTTATGATACGAGCTACAGCTACCATATCACATATCTGCAGTAAAGGGAGTTCAATTTCAGCTTCTAACATGCAAAGAAAAAGTAATATCAAAATTTGACAAAAACAGCATTCCATGATTTTCTCTAAATTCTGGATTCTGTTGTCAATTAGCTTTTGAGACAGCCCTTGTGTTTTGATATATGATGTGGCTGTAGCAAGCTTCCTCCGCTAAGCGAATTTTCTTAAATTCCAAAAGATTATAAGTGGGACAAAAACTTAACAGAGAATAACTGGCATCAATACCAAAGATTTTCGAATTAAAGCAAAATTTCCCCGGTAGAGCATAAGAAAGAAATTTAAAGAAAGAAATCATACCCCACCACGCATTTGGTTGAGCCCACCATTTGTGTGAACTAGTAGGTAACCTTGCGACTTGGCTGGAGCTGGATAAATATTTAAAAGATGAAATAAGTAATAATGAGGTTCACAATTGCCATTTACAACATATGGTTATGTTAAGCTCCTTACTTGTGTAATTATACGTAGGATTTATGCAGGGAAGAAACCCGCGATTTGAAGGAGGCTTCCACAGCTTGTCATAGTCTGAGTCCCCTCTGACATTATTTAGCTGTCAAATCTAAACGAGTGAAAACATGAAAGGCGCATAACTGCTTCGCATGGTTTAAACAAAGATGTGCCAACACACAGGACACCTCAGCATATGTAGAGTTGTAGACATAAACTATCATTAAAATCAAGAAGTTGGAGAGAGAAGATTATACATCCAGATGAATTTTGGGAGGATAGCACAACTAGTGGAAGTTTCAGGAGACTAAACCGCCTAATTCGATATTTTTATAGTGCTAATGGAATTCCCCATTTAGTTGACGAAAGTAGGAGACTAAAGAGGTCAATAAATAAATTATTTCAGCTAATTTTCTAAGAACAAGCAACTACCTCAAATACGACGAGTATAACGCGAGAGATATTTTTATTATTTTCCTTTTTTTCCTCAATTGAAAATTCCTTCGCGTAGATCAATCATTTTAGATGTATTGAAATATGTCTCTCATTCACATTCAGAGAATACAGACAGATCAGATCAACAAATTAGATTAATAGCAAGCGCAGAACCTTGGGAGTAGAAAGTGGAGCCTTGGATAAATGGGGCGGAGCCAGCTCTCTCGTCCAGCTTTGCCTGTCACGAGGCTGCCAAAATTTGAAAAAGGGAAAAAGGATTGTTTAATCACTAATTTATCGATAAACATACCCAAGTTTCTCTTAATGAATCTGGATTAAAACCAAACCGCCTACAGATAAGTATTAAGAGGGGGGGAAAAAAAAAGGGAATATGATCTTCATTCTTTAGGTTTGAGGCCGTTCATATCAACAGTCTTCATCTCAACAAAATACTGAAAATGACAGTGTAACACTGAAGCTTTTCGGTTTTCAGAAACCAAATGTGTCCATTATAAATGCACAAATTAAAACAACAAATCACTGCATCGAAATATATATTTGTGCAGGAGGGGAGGATTTGCTCTAGAACATCGAAAAACTTCGCAGGAACCCAAAGAGCCCAAATTGAAAAGGAGAACCCTAAATTCTTCCCAAAGCAGAGGACAGAGATACAGAGAGCGAACGAACCGTGGAAATCTTGTCATTGAACTTTTGATCTTTGGAAGAGGGGACTACGTGAAAATGGACAGAGAAAAGCGCCACAAACGCGATCGAGCATATAGCCGCAGTAAGCAACTTCCTTAGGAGAACCAATGGAATCCACCTGCGCCTCTGCATTCCACTCGCAGCTCGTCTCTCTGGAAAACTCAGAGCGCTTCTTTCCCGAGGAGGAAAACAAAAATTGTGATGATAACAAAGAAAAGCACTAATTTAATGTGTGCGGATCAATGAAAACCACGGGGCTCGCAGTTAGTACGAACGTATCTGTGTGTCGGAGAGTGAGTGCGTGTGTTGCAGTGAGAGAGCAGCAAAAAAAGCGGTCGGCTCTTCGGTTTTGGCTTTTGTGAGTGTCGTGCTCCGATCGGTTTTTCTTGTCATTCATACCATCGTAGTTGTTGAGCGCCGCATAGAGCATAGTTGATCACTCCTCACTTCACTTGGCACTGTTTTGGACTATCAAATACGGAACGAACTTTTATTTCAGATAATCCTCTTCTTTTCATTTAATGGCCCGGCGTGGTCGTTGATTTTACATTAATTCTCGCTCATAAATGATCGTTACACTGTTTATCATTATAATCATAAATAGTTCGATTTGTTAAACTTGATGTGTTATATGTTGCTATAGATATTTTTATTGGATAATGTGAATGTTAGTGTTGATAAATATATGAAATTTGCAATAGTTTAGTAAGTTTACTATAGAAATTTCCAGGCAGCGAGTGCTATAACTTTATTTTTCAGTCCCCGTCAAAATACACCATTTAGTTGTATTTTGTTTAGAAGCTGATTAGTTTTTTCTAAGTTATGAAGCTAAAATTGATTAAAATTATAATAGGTAAAATACATTTTTGTACAGAACCCAATATAAATTCTATGAAATAATTGTTTTAATTGTATATTAATATGATTTTTGTGTGTTTCTTTGTCCGACAAAGAAGGTATCGATTCGACTCTATCGTGTTTGATTGGTGGCCAGTGAAAGTTAATTAAAACCAAATAGGAATTAGTTTAAAACTGTTGTCATCAGCGTTGGGTATAGACACGCTTGAGGGAGCCAAATTAAACCAATATGAATGAATTGTAGGGGCGTAAATGGGGACGCACTACCCACGAACATGGCCTGGAAAGACGTTACGCGGTGAGATTTAACGTCCGGAGTTTTCAAAACATGACATCACAACTGTTCTGGATAAGTGAGTATGAGATTGACTCGGTATCCTCATTTGGAATTATTATTCAGAAAAATGATTAAAAAAAAGAAGAATCTGAAAATTATCAGATGTTTTTCCCGTACTTTAACAAGTTTTGACTATATTTAATTTGTAAATAATAACATATTTTGTCAGGAGTTAATTTGAGATTATGCAGTTTTATATCAGGCCCTTTTTCCGTCATTTTTTTGTTGTTGTTGTTGTTTTAATTTCCCTACTCCTGTATTTCCTGGGTTAAGTAGAATGGAGTAAATGAAAATCGAATGAAGATGTTTATTCTCTCTGGCCATGAACGTGTGAGTTGGTTGGAGTGTTTATGTTGATCACAAAATTTCTATTTCTTTATTTATCTCATTATTTTTTATTTTCAAACTAACGCCATAGTTAGATGCCTGTGTTTTTTTTTTTTTGACGAGCGTTTATATGCCAGTGTTATAAGTCGAATGGCCATATATCGTATTCAATTCACGACTTGTTTAGTTTAAGTATCTTAAAAGAAACAGCATATATAGTTTTTAATAAATAATTGATTTATCTAGTTTTTTCAACGTCTGAACAAATTAATTAGGTACTAACCCATATATCTGGAATTTGAGGTAGCGTGATGAAGGGATTGGATCGAATATTAATGTTATAGTATCACGGATGGAGAAGGGGACAAAAATAAGAAGTGATGGGAGCATATTTTGTTGGAAGTAGCTTGCGGCGAAGGAAACCCTTTCCCTTTTCTCGTAACGCCTTCCTACCTTGCCTCCTCACTCCTCACCAAAGGGATCATTCCATTCCAAGGCAAATATATTAAACAAAAAAAATCTAAATGGAGTACTTAACTCCTGCAAATATAACATGATATTTTAAAAATATTTTTATACGAACATTAGGACCAAAATTAATTCCTATCTCTAGGAGTGAAGAAACTAGATATTGTGTAACAAGAACAATAAATTTTTAAAAAAATTCAATTTTGGAGGAGAAACTTCCAGAATTAAAGCAATGTGCGCCTTGTTAATAATCAATTTCTCAATGATAGGAGGCTTGAATGTTGAATCTGGCCAGACGCCCACCTTCTAGCTACTGGAATCACTGGTGGTGCATCTCTATCACCTGGTCCTTGATGTTAATGCATGCTACTGATTTGAGTAATTGCCTCTTTTTGCAGTTGCAGTATTATGCATCAGGGGCCTCGATTACTTTTCATCTTGTGATGTCTTTGCTTATTAAGGACCAATACCAGCTCAGATTAGGCGTGCAATAAAACTCAGTTAATGCTCCGTGGCATATATTACCCAGATTCTAGGGAATTTCGATCAGTTCCAAGATCAGTTCCTAATATTTATCTGTATGCAAGAAAAAGAAACATCATTTCCTACGGTAACAAGAAAAAGCTTTGCTTCAATTCATCAAACAGCGGTCTACAGTTTGCTAGCCATCAAAATGACGTGAGTTGATTCGGGTTCATTATGTCCGAGACTTGAATGAGTATATGTACGCCCTTACGTTTTGGAGTATTTTTGGAATGAAGTACATATATATGTTGTTCTGTTTTAGTTTAAGGACAGTTCTCGTTAATTTTGCCATTCCATTTGAGGAGGGTATCCAGTTGAATCGTGTTTGTCCTAAAAAGATGGTTAATGCTCTGCCATCATTTGGAAGGATGAAAGAGAGGCAAGCTTGCAAAAATTAGGCGGGGAGTTTATTTTGAGCCAGACTGGATAAACGCACGACAGTCACTAAACAGTGAATGCTTCATGGCATTACATTATTGAAACGACATTTACATGCTTGTCTTAGCTTTTAATTAATGAATGATTAATAATTGAAACGACGTGTTGACGTGTCGAACAGGTAAGGCGTCACTTGGGACTGGCATGGCCTTTGTGTTTGGTGAGCAGGTTAAATTGTCAGGGAATCTATCATTCTCGTCCACTTATGGGTGAGTGCCCATGCACTGTATAAGAAAGAATTAAACAAAAATGTCTTTCTTTATCATTCATAGTTAGACCTTGTCTATACAGAGCACACATATAGATACATCTCTTTTTTTTTTGACAAAAAATGGATATGGTGAGTTTAAAGAGAGTTCTATTTGAGATATCATTAAAAATTTATTTAGTTGGGAGAGTGAGGTGGCACGAGAAGCTTTAAAGGCGCCGGAGGGATAGGGATACGATATGAGGATTTAGAGGGGAGAATTATAATTATAAATGGGGAATTTGGAATACCAAGTGGGGACACAGAGGCTCTGATGAACTAACCCCCACTAATCACCGCACCTGCCCACATACGCCACTTGTACTCGCAACCATAAATACTAATCTCTATCATGTTCTCTGCATCTTCCTTGTCAGCCCCACCCCGACCATCGCCAACTCTAATTAATTATTACTAGCTTCGTATCATTACATATTACTGTTCCGTCACTTATTATAAATTTTTTTAATTAAATTATACGGCTTAAGAAAACAATTAAAATTAGTTAAAACTAATTAATATGTAGTAACTGTAATTTTTTTTTCAAATATACTCTTATATATAAATGCGTAGATGTGAGAGTAATAGTAGGATAAATAAAAAAGGAGAATATATTAAATTATAAGTAAAATAGTAGTAATACATTAAATGTTCAGACAAATTCAAAAAAAATCTTATAAAAAGAAACAAACCTATTTAAAAAATTAAATCTTATAATAAGAGACAGAAAAAGTACTCCTAAAGCTCATAATAAATAAAACATGTCATTCACCCGCTTCCTCGTCATTTTTTAAACCTATAAAATATTTAGGGGAGTTGGAATGTTGGATCCACCAACTAAATTAAATTTAAACACATGCTCTAGTTTCTGCTGACTCAACCATTCATTTTTACTTGGCAAGATCTGTACAAATTAATTAAATAAATCATCCATTTGTTATATAAATTAAATTAAAATGAATTCACTTTTTCCTGTCAACTGTGACTTACTTGACCTCCAGCTTCAAAAACTCCAGCCTTGAGTATAAACTCATGCGCAGAACATGCCACTCTTTCTGGCAAAATAGAATTTTGTTCATCAAAATGTATATAATGCGTACGTGACAGAATTAAATTATCAATACATGTGTTTGGGTTTTTCCTGAAAGAGAAAAGTTGGATCTAAACCGTGGACGATGATGTTGAGTTATTTGTAAAGAGCACGAGGGGTCCCACCATATATCTTTGTCATTTCTGAAGTGGGGTAAGTAACTTGAACATCAGATTCGGATGTGTCCATATTACTTCTGCGGTATGCTATCTTGTTGAATGAAACCTCTCCTGTCCCGTAGTGCTCCGTTTTTATTTTTATTATTTGGTCATTGTCAATTTTTACTAATTCACCACACCAAAAATTGAACGCATTAAACAATCACACCGTCGAGTCCAGGAATTGGCTGCATCTAATTAATTTAACCAATATTTTACTCGTGTCAATTACGGGCTTAGTGCATTTAATACTCATCTCATCTCAAATATAAGAATCATCTTATAATGTAATTTATAATACAAAATAGATCTTATGTAATAGCCGCAATTTTTTATTGCAGAATACTTAAATATGAAATTGATTAAAAAAATACTTAAAAATTGAAATACAGAGTTCCATGAGCAGTAATCTGCCTGTGTAATGAATGGCGGAGGTGGAAAATTTTAAACCATGTTACTTGAAGAAAATCATACATTAAATGAAAACGAGCAACGGAAGAAGAGATTAGTGCGTCTATGAAAAGTATACTTCTTCATCATTTAATCATTTGAAAGAACATACATTCATGGTTTGGATTTTTTTCCAATGCAAAGTGTGCAAGACATATTTACAGCGATAGAAATAAGGATAATGAATGCTTCAAAGTTCAAACATTAAAATTAGTATTGTATTGTGTGTTCAGTATTTATTTTTGGTGTCGCGCGCGCACAGCAGCAAACTCTCTCTCTCTCTGTGCATTATAATATTCCATAAATTTGTAAAGAGTGAATTACTGTTAAGGATTTAAATTGGGCGCTGAGCCGGGAAATTCTAAAAAGGGACCATTACATAGCCATTAGAGGCTTGAGTATATATCCATAATTGGCAATGGTCTAATGCAATTAATAAGGGACATCAATGTCAGTATACAGTTATGGGGTTTTCAGCGACTTTTAAAAATAATTTCATAAAATTTTATCTTGACTTACGTTAAAATATTTTTTTAAGTAATTTTAGAGTAT